AGACTATTTTTCCGCGCGCGCTTGTTTTTTCTGATCACGTAAGATTTGTTAAATAAAAGGGAAATCTTGTTACAATGTATCAATGTAATGTTATAAAACAAGTGGTAAACACCACAGCTTGTTCATAGTTCTGCTGAACTCTTTCACCGGTTGTTGGATACAGACCTTATAAAGAGGATTTTGGTCGGTATTTCAGGAAGCGTGATGAATTGGTTCATACGTCAGCGTGTATCCATAACTCAATAGTACACGCTATGGCGTTCACCATTTGTTAATTAGAGTTTAGAGCATTTAAGATGCCTCGGACACTTGCCACCATTCTGAAAATCTACAAAACACTGACCAAGAATGTGACTTGTTAAGTGGGCAGCTGGAGCTTTCTACGGATGGAACCTTTCGGTAAGACCAGAAGGAAAAAAACGGCAAGGAAGACCATGAGAAGACTTTGATATCAACATATTTTTGCCAACATAGTGCCGTACGTGTATGGATTCGAAGATATTTCTCTTAATATCGTTTAGTTTAAAGTGAATTTATCTGAAAGCATGCATTTTTGTGTTATTTTGGGAAGTCCTTAAATGTTTCAAGGTTTATCTATGTAGACATCACCAATTTTTGCACAAAGATTTTGCACTGCTAACTTTACCCGGACGATCAAACTACACGATCAAATCACATGTTTCACTTGGAATGGTAATAGAGAAAAAAAACGTATTGACCAAAGTAATCTTAAAGAAGTACAATCTAATTTATTAAAAGATCAATATGTATATATGATACAAATTGATAAAATATAATGTACTTCAGTGCATGTCTAAACAGAGATGTTAACTTCAACATTGTTGCTACCTTCATTGCACAGAGCCCCCTTAAATCCCTTCGTGCATTTACAGTTGAAACCGTCCGGCGTGTTGACACAAGTTCCACCGTTTTTGCACGGACTCTTCGAGCATTCATCATCATTTTCTGAACATACGTACGAAATAAAAAAATGTAAATTTGACAAAGAATGAAATGTATAGAGACAGTTCAGCCTTGGAATTCTTCAACAATTTTCCAACCTAGTCAGGTAATTTCATTTTAAACTTTATTATATTTACTTTGTACATTAATTAAATGGGAAATTTTGTTTGGCTAGTAAAGACATTGTTACATGCATCGATCATAGAATTCAGTAAGAAAGCTAACAAGGTCAGTTTAAACATGAACGCAAACTTTCTCCTTTAAACTAGATTTTTTATTCAAGGAATACTTTCTAGAACACAATGCAAGCTCACTGTTAAAAAAAACTGTTTTCTAAAAGCTTTGTGATTATTTCGTCTTTGGAAAAGGCATCTTTTATATTCCGGAGATGTCAACTCTTTCTTTAGGTCCCCTTTGTTTTTTTTAAATATCCATAGTGTGACTGGCTTTCCAGTGAACAATTAACTCTGAGATGTCCCACTGGTATGCAGATTCCTTACAAAAGAAAAATATAGAGATTTTTTACTCACCAATTCTGTAGACATAGTTTACGTTCGGGTATCCCGCACATTCCCTGGGGTCGTTCAAGTTATCGCACAGTGAAAAAGGTTGTTGGAAAATCATGACACATTTGTCTGATTCGCCATCTCGCTTATACTGTTTATCTGCATCAGATCCGCTCCAGCATTCTCCAAAGTTCTGCAGCCCAAAGTGTGTAAAGCCTCTTTCTCGTGTTGCCTCCGCACAGCGGCAGGCCAGGCTACAGTGTATCACAGAAAACGTAGATTAATACACCGAATGCAAATATGGCGTCCAATTTGAATTGCCATTGTTCTGGACTCACTAG